ATTGAGAGAACCACAAAGTCATGCGTCTTATCATTCGCGAGGACCCAAAGGCCGTGGCCTACTACACAGGTAGGCAGCAGCAGCAGCTTGCTATGGAATCTGCAGAGCTAGCACGTTTACAGAAACTGGCAGTGGAAGCACGTGTGCCAATATACTACTAATACTTGCCTTTGTCTACCGTCTGGGGCGATGGGTATACGATATCGAACATGGTTTCTGCAACTGTAGCTAACTATGTCCGGCTGCGAATCAACGAATTCAAGGCGACACGCAACCGGCCGTTTGTGCTAGGGCTCCCCACAGGGTCGACTCCTGTGGAAGTGTACTGGCACCTGGTGGATTTTTATAAGCGTGGCGAGCTGTCGTTCCGTAACGTGGTGACCTTTAGCATGGATGAGTACGTAGGGCTGCCAAGGACGCACCCCGAAAGTTACTGCTCGTTTATGCGGCGGCATCTCTACGATCATATCAATCTGCGCAGCGAGAACATACACATGCTGGATGGAAACGCAGAGGATTTGGCGGCCGAATGTCAGCGCTACGAAGACAAGATCAAGGAGGTTGGCGGGATTGAGCTTTTCCTTGGCGGGATTGGCCCAGACGGCCATATTGCGTTCAACGAACCTGGGAGCTCCCTGGAATCTGTCACACGCGTCAAAACGCTTGCGTACGAAACTGTATTGGCTAATGCGCGTTTCTTTGGCGGTGACGTCAATAAGGTGCCCAAGCTTGCGCTGACCGTCGGCGTTGGCACAGTTCGAGCCGCCCGCGAGGTGCTTCTTATTATTACTGGCGCACACAAGGCCGTGGCGCTTGCAAAGTGCATTGAAGAGGGTGTCAATCACATGTGGACGCTGTCTGTCGTACAGCTGCATCCGTCGGCAATGGTCGTGTGCGACGAGGATGCGACGCTGGAGCTGCATGTAAAGACCGTCCGCTATTTTAAGAGCATCGAGCAGGTACAGGAGCAGCTGATCGGCCGCCAGAACATTGGTCTGAAGGGGTCCATCTCAAGGCTGTCCTACGCTGGTGCGCAAGGATCTTATGCGCCAGTGCCGCAACCACCTTCAGGGCCAGATAGCAACGCTAGCGTAGAGCCCGAATCAAGTGCAGAAATGGGCCAGAGCGATGCAGACGAAGAGGAGTACGTTGCCTACAGCGACACCGGCGGATCTGTCGAAGGTACTTCGATGCCCGTCGACGATTCTGCCAGCAGCTCCGGTGAGTTGAACGATGGCGCCAGCCCCGGCGCTGCCCGTGTAACTGCCGCAGCTGTTGGAGGTCCCTTTCAAATACCCCCGTCTCCACAAAACCCAACACTATGCTAAGACCAAGCTCACTCGGCATGGTTCTAGTCACAACAACAGCACCACACAACAGCCTTTTTCCGCCCCAGACAGCAGAAGCCCAGGGAGCTCGTCACCGGAGGAGACGACAGATCACAGCGGCCGATCAGGAGTATCGTCGCCAGACTTCTTAGAACGCAAAGTTGGGAATAGCATCAGCGGGGTCGGCTCGAGTGAAACAAGCCATAGTGGTCAGTACAACGCCAGAGTCAGCTTTGCAGCAGCAGCAGCAGTCCGCCACCCGCGGTATATGCTTCCGCGGGCGTCGGGCATGAGCACCATGGGTGAGATCCATTCGCTGGCTCCGCCCCATGTTTCGCCACCTACAGAAATGGCTTCCAGTCCGCCTGGATACGACCAGTCATCCGTTTACCCAGCGACGTGGCACGAATATGAGGACCAGTTCAACTACTTCTACAATTGCCACTTCATTGAGCAGGACTATTACAACTACTTGTCGGGAAACCTGCGACGCCCTGGTGACAATGACTCGGATTCTAGCAGCGGCCAAAGTATTGCCAGTGTAGATGAGAGCGAATATGGCGAATCATCATATCCCACCACTGAGGACGAGGATCGTGCTTCGGAGTGTAGTGTTACCAGTGCTGCGCTGCCTGTTGGAAGTCGCGAAGAGTCGACCACTCAATGACAATGCTGTGCGTATGATTTTGTGTTTTGTGCCTGTTAACTGTTGTTTCTGCTAATCTTCTAATAGCTTTTCTAGCTCTATCTAAACAATCCTCGAGACGGGGGAATATATATATACATTGATCTCTCAGAATATTTGAAAGATGCGGTAGTTATAAAACTGGATGCAGATATGCTATTTTGTACAAAACCTCAACAAAATATGAATAGAAAAGAAAAACATGTTACCTATACCTGCACCTAGTTTGGGGGCAGCGTTTACCACTACAAATGCTATTGCAATATTTATGTCTTGGTGCACTTCTTGTCGGTAATTTGAAATAGGCAGGATCGTGTTGCAGCTCAGGCCCAAGACAGCTTTCGTTTGTACAGCAGAGAAGACCGAGGATGGTGACTTCCTTCTTAATACTCTCTCAATTTGGGCGAGCTCAGAGCTGCAGTAGTTCATCCAACGCTATATTCTGGGTATCGCTGTTTAATCGGTATTATACTTCCTATACAAACCAACAATCAACTGCCTTCATCTAGTTAGAAATTGTCAGCTTTTGTGCATTTAGCCATTTTTACCTAGCGTTCACCATGGACATGACGGTAAGACAGACGAAAGCTAAACAAATTAAATAACAAATTAAATAAAGCGGCTGTACAGGTCATTGGGGGCATCATGGAAACGCAAATAAGCAGTGAAAGTATCAACTGTTGAAATGACTGCACGATGCTCAGCACACTTGCCAAGCTTATTTCTATAAACCTGCACTTGGAAGGTATGTTGGTGCGAATATAAACAATGCTAGGTACCAGACCAGCAGTGACACTAGACATCCAGAAATCCTACATGTGTTGTCATGAGTGGCAGAATAGAAAAATCACAATGGTAGTTAGTTGAATTTAGTAGTAGTACTCGAAAATGGTAATGCCCAAATAAGCCTCCACATCCAGCGTTTCCAAAATAGCCAATTAATACATGAGCAAGCTGGATATGTAAAACGGCAGTTGGTTGTCTGCGACTCTACTCTATTTGTTCAGGCACATTGGAGGGACAGCGGTTAATGATGCCCAAAATAATTTAAAGATATAGCAAGGGTTGAGGTATTAGGTAGTGGAGCGCATCTACCAGGCTAACGCACTCCATAGAAGCTGATAAGAGAAGTAATGGGTAGAGGGCAGAAGGGGGGTTTACAAAGGCTTACCATGGCTTGGCTTTGTTCCACCATGAAAGTCCAGCGCGGCTTCGCTTCCACTCGCGAACACAGGTCAGAGGTCTTTTTTCGATATCTGAACGGGCAGTGGCAGAAATGATGTGGTGCGTATGGCCGTCGATGACTACGACTTTGGGAAGCTCCGAAACCGAGACTTCCATGCGCTTTGCCAAGTCCTGACGTAGACCATGCTCGTTCCACGGAACACACAGCCATCCAGTGCCAGCCATCATCCGTGCCATGTCCGCAGGGTGGTTGTCAAGCGACACATGCACAACTGCCAAATCGTCGCGGTGGGCCGATGACACGCTCAGCAGCAGCGGTGTGAACTCGTCGCAGTCTGCGCTCCAGGTGGCAGCAAAATACAGAATCACCATCTTTTTGCTCAACGATGCCTGGGCTGCAGACACCATGCGTTGCTGCTCGTCCTCCAGCACACGCAGATTGGACATCACTGTGTCGCCTTCTACCAACATCCGGTAGCTCCGTGACAGACTGGCATCCATACTCAACCGGATAGTCAGCTCTGCACTGCTGGATCCCCTGTAGATATCCGACGCCATCCGCTGATGATCCGAATGCGACGCGAATGTCGATATGGCAGAGTTGAATCGCGGCCGCGTTCCAATGGGAAGCGCGGTCACTGCCGACGTGCGTGATGAAATAAACTGATTCGAGCTCTGACTTAGTCTGTGGCTCAGACTAGCCCGTGACGATGCGCTTAATGCAATGCTACTTCGAGCCGCGCTCATGCTACGTGTGCCCCTAACATGCAGCGACTGCTCTGGAACGAACAAATCCACTGTCTCATCATTTAGAGTTCCTGTGAGGCTGCTTGCGTGACTCTGTCCCATTTCTATAGCTATGCTATGTTCTTCTGGTACGGTAGATTGCTCGGCGATATATCCAAATAACGGCCGAGCCATTGCGCTAGTGGTATCCTCGACAGCCGTAGCTGTTGTGCTGCCTCGCTCAGCCGACATTGTCCTGCGTTTGGGCAGTCTTAGCTTTTGTGATCCCAAAGTGCTGGGCTGCAGTGCTGGAACCTGTTGTTGCTGGTGTTGCTGCTGCCTCTGGCTCTTATCCGATAGCCAAGGTGCCATCATCGACTTCGCATCTGTAGATGCGCGGCTCAGATGCATTGTGCGTTGCTTCCCATGCACATGCGCTGTTCTGCTATCTGGCGACATGGGCGAAGGCGGAAGCAGTGGCACCTTCAGCTGCGTATTTGGAGATAATGACTCCGTCTCGGACATCGTGGCTGAAAGCGGCACCCCATCCATAGCGCTAATAACCACCACCGTAATATATTTTTTGTACTTGTCTGAGCAACGCTGCGTATACAATAGAAAAGCTGGACTAAACAAGAGTGCTGAAGTGGAGAAAATAGAGTCGCTGGGGTATAAAGAAGTGCTGAAACAGAAAGAAAAAAGGGGTGGTGCGCTGACACTTCAAGTAGCTGCATTAAAAGACAGAGAAGGTGCAGACCTGCGCGCAGAATGTGATGCCAACGTGTCTGAAGTTGGTCTGAGCAGCGTGAGGTAGAGAGAAAGAGGGTCCAATCGGAGACCGGAAGCTGGGGATAGGGATCGGCGCCAGGTTCACGAGAATGTGATCGCCCCCCACCTCTCAAAGCCTACGTGCTACTGCAAAGAGTTTAAAAAAAAATGGTTTCAGAGCCAGTTAACAGAGTGGGAGAGTAGAATACAAAACAAAATGAAAAAACTTCATTAATGCATCTTGTGTGACGTTGGTAATCAGGTACAAAAGTTTAAAAAAAAAAAATGCTTTATAAAAAGATAAAAAGTTCCGTAACGGGGAATCGAACCCCGGTCGCCACGGTGAAAGCGTGGAATCATAGCCACTAGACCATTACGGATTAAGATGTTTAGAACAAGCTAATCAATCACATTCTACACACTAAAGTGAAATAATGTATATAATCTTGCGTTAATTTAGGATACAAAGCGTTTGTGTTTTCACGCTTAAAAGCTATTTTATGCATATTTACCACTATTACACAGTAGCAGGAGTATCTGCTATTTATTAAAAAAAAATTAAAATTAGAGAATAGCCAGAGCGAAGACCTCTCCTCACAAGCTTATTTCACTTACTACTGCTACTGTTGTACTCTGCGACCTGCGAGTTTGGATAGCGAATTCGCAGCCACAGCAGTTGGGACATCTGCGACGCAGCATCCAGCACACGTGCGTGTATCGCTTGGTTTCTGCTGTCACGCGCATCTGCGCGGGTGATGATGCGCACCTCGACGCCTGCAAGCCGCACATACTTGTTTAAGGGTCTTGTGCCCTCTGTGCTATTTTCTGAAAGTAGCCAGCCAGAAACTGATAAATCGATGGGAATGACCAACCTGCGAAGCGAATGTAGAGCTCCGCGCAGCAGCACATCATTTGCAAAGGGGTATGCAGAAACACAGCGGAGATGCTCAAGGGATGGGAATGGCGTTCCAGAGGGCATAGTTCTCTGAAGCAACTCACTTTCGTCATATGTGCCAAGAACATCCAGCACAAGCTCCTTTGTGTGTAAATATACCACCGGATTTCCAATCTGGTCGACTACAATGCCGCTACAGTCATGGATGCGGATATAGCGCACTTCTAGTCGCACAAGAGTTGCTGCTTGCTGCCGCACAACAGCAAGCATATTTTCCGAGCCAGACGCGGAAATACTCAATACAAGCGAGCTCAAGTTTGGCAGTACTGCTGCCCCAAGTACAAGCGCAGGACAGGAGGAGGCATCGATATGTACAATTCTGTTGCATATGGTCTGCGTTCTACGAAAGCTGTTTAATGATATAAGGCAGCGTCTTTCTTCACCGCTGATTTTGTCACCGTCGCTACTTTGGCTACTAGGTGGTTTAATTGCATTCACGACCCTTACGTTGCTTGCCTCAATTTTTAGCTGGCGAATGGCTGGAAGCGCGTCCTCCAGTGCATTAAAAATTGGCCCGGGGTCTATTGTCATTCTTTCTACGCGTGGCTCATGTGGCATATCAGCCATTGTTGTCTGGCCGACGAGAAATAATCTTACACGGGAGATCTTGACAAATTCATTCCTTTGCTTACGAAACATTTCTTGCAACGCACATAGTGATGTAGGCCTATTTGAAGCCACCACAACCGCCTCTCTGGCATAACATTGCCATCCAAGCACGCACGCCTTGATAGATGACAAGCCTTTGCGAGTCCAGTACATTGACTGTCTGTCCGCGAATGAGCATACTGTAATCGAAGAACAATATATCGGAAGAGTAGCGGCCCGCCAGAGCCGACATACTGAGAGTAGTGCTTTGATATGGACAGGTTCTTGCGCGTAAATGGTCAAAGAGGGCGCAACAGCAACGAGTATAATCTGGCGCACGACATCCTCCGGAAGATGTCGCGCAAGACTCGTTACATGTGATTGCATGATGTTCCAAATATGGCTCACGATAATAATATAATCAGCGGATAGGATTTAAGGTGAGGCAAGTATATAATAAATTTAAATAAATAGTGCTGTGAGGCTATATCTGTTGAAGGCGACATTCGCTGGTATTTTAATACCTCTTGCTATGTAACAGAAGAAGCAAAGACGAGGCAAGGCAAAGAAGGCTAAAATATTGTCGTAAATAATCGTAGAACACTCCATACGCCAGTTCGTTACTTTATATACCAGACGCAACACGTCAATAATGTGTGTTGCTTGGTGTTCATGCATACAACGCATATCCATCCACTCAGCCCCCCTTTGATATTTAATATTTCCTTTTACCTTCAGCAATTGTGCTGGTCACCCCCTCCCTTCATTTACAGAAACAGGCACACTTAATTCTATCGCCCCTCACCCCCTGTTGTCCCCCCCCCACCTCCTTCCGCAATGAAGCAACGTCGGAAAGGTCCGACAATGCATCGTAAATGCACACCCCCTTCCCCTACAATCACTGAAAATTATGTTCAATCTGATCCAGACATCATTGTCTCTGTTGCATTGCAACATGCTGCCGCTTATATGAACATGGTGCACCGTATTCTTAAACCAAGCAAGCACATACAGGTGCTAGCACCTGTATACTTATACTTTTAAAGCTACTTTGGTAAGGGCTGTAGTGAAGCAGACAGGCAGTCAGTAAAAGTAATTTGGGCAGATCTTGCTCTTCTAAATGAATGGTGCGCTCAACTTTAAGAAAACTATTAGCGCATCAAAAAATATTTTCGTCGGCCAAGGCTGTTTTTGGTAGCGAGAGGTTTTGTGCTTTGCGTCGCGAGAGTCAAAGTTTGTGCATGGTTGACGTGTGTGGCGAGCGTTAAAAGACAAGAAGTAAGCATCAAGAAGCCGAACAACGAGATATTAGTAGTAGGTTTGTTTGGAGTTATCTAACAGACAATTTTAGCAACGTAGTAGCATCGAAATACATCACAACACATGCAACCTACCTCCATGTCGCCCATATTCCCGTAAAGGAGGATGTAGTTAGATGTGAAATCGTTAAAGACCACAAAAATGTTCCTCAGGCTATGCTGTCTGTCAACAACCCCCCTCCTATGCGCAAACAATGCCCCCGTTCACAACGCAAATACACTGTTTGAATGGCGCAAACGTGGAATGCCAAATCCTGCCGAAATAATTATACGCCAACGCTAATACTTTTGCAAAATATAGTATTTATATCACAGACATTAAAGAAAAAATATTATTAAATTGGAGCAATAGCAACTCCCGTTAAATCGCAACTATCTCTGTTCATCTTACACCGACATATCTCATGATAAAAATCTGTCAGCACTACTATTGGATTATTGGGCGCGTTGCTGTAGGAGCCAAAAAAAGTTGGGTTACAAATTTTCTGTGGTAATGGTCAAGCTTACATCTATAAATATACAGCTTTGCTTTCCAGATGGTTTTCGAGCTAGATAAACGCAAGCAGCTTTCTTTACCCTGAAATAACGTAGATAGCACTGGCCTATAGAATAACATACTTACTAACACTTGGAATAATTCTTTTATTGCAAAGATGATACCTATATTTTCCCAAAGTGGACTATGTGCAAGACTTATGCGCCTGATAGTAGTAGGAGTCGCCATATACTCGGCTTGCATATTTTCAATTGCTTCGGCTGAAATCTCCGCAGTACTGTCGCCGCTTGCTTCAGCGGTGTGGGTCCCTGGAAAGCAAGAGACAATTACATACCGGATTTCCGGTGAACCAGATGGCGAGTCATATGAGATTGACCTGATGAGCGGCAACCCCAACAATGCACAGTTGGTGCATGTGTTTGAGCAGACAGCAGTGCCCACTGTTGCAGGTGTCAATTCGGTCACTGTCGACGTCCCATCGACCATCCCCGAAGGTACTTACGGAGTACGACTAGGACTTCCGGACGATAATGACTGGAAGTACTCGCAACTTTTTACTATTAGCCACGATGGCAATGCTGCTGCAGATACTGCTGGAAACCAAAAGCAGACTGGAGATTTTGCTCCTGTACCTGCAGATGCCAAGGGCTCAGAAGGCAATAAAGACCAAATAGAACCGGTATCAGGGCAATCTGAAAGCAGTACTCAAACATCATCCGGTAATGGTGTCCCCAGTGCTTTTGGGCATCTGGCGGTAGTTATTCTACTCTATAGCCTTCTTTAATTATCTCACAGCCAGCGATAAAACAGAGCTGTCAAAAAGAGCATAAATGCTTAGAGATTAGAGACAAATGAAACGATAGCAGGACCTAAGGATAGTGCATATACAAAATGTCAACAATATTAGCAACAGATCAATGACGCTTGCCCAGCGCCGTTGGCTTGCTCCCTTGCAGAATCTTGCTCCTGGCCTCGGGCGAGATAACAGACTTGACCTTGCTGACTTGTATTCCAGAGCGGAGGGCCTCGCACATGACATCATAGCAGTAGTTTGAAGTCTTCATAAGATCCTTGGCCCAGTCTGAGGCCTCACCAGCAGTATCAGCACGAAGCTGCAAAACCTCGCCGTTCTTCAGGTTGACAAGCTCAAACTGGTCCTTAATTGGTTCGCGCGCAAGCAGATCGTAGGTCTGGATAGGCAAGCGGTACGGCTCGTAGCACCATACGCCGCCACGACGGTCGGAGACAGTGATCATCATGAAGTCGTTGAAGAGAATTGCATACAAATGCTTGCCCGATGACGCCTTGCGAAGCGGGCCCTTGCGTACAAAACGACGTTGGCCGACAAGCTTTGTAAATGTGTCAAGCTTAAGCTGCACACCACCCAGCAGATGTGCCCAATCAAATGTGCTTTGGAGCTCAGCCAGGCGTTGACGGTTCATGAGCTCCTCGGACTTGCGGTCAACCTCAGTGGCCACACTGCCGGATATGCTCAGCGCCAGAGCCACGTCTTCATGGTCCGGATGGTCCTCGGGGGTGTACTTGAGTAGCGCCTCAAGGAGTAGTGGATAGCGCATAACACGCTGCACTGGTGCCAACAAGAACGACTCCAGCCGCAGGCGCCGCACGCGCGGGTCCTTCTCGGCTTGCTCCAGGGTCTGCAGCAGCTTCTGGTGGGCATCACGAGTGGCATCATTTCGCAAATTAAGCCGCGAGCTGCTCTCCCGCACAAGTTTTAGGTACTCAATTGCCTTATCGTGGTTAGCAGAGTACTGGGCATAATGTTCGGAAAAGTCCTTCAGGTAGCTGGCCATCACATCGCCAATGCAGACGTTCCGGAAATAGTCAAGCACCCGATTTTCAGACCATTTGGAGGCGTCGTTCTCATCCTCTTCCGACATGCTCCCCAGGCTACGCACGCTACTATGGCGCTCTGCAGTAGCGTTTGATGCTGCGCCAGCTGATGGTGCATAGCGATTGCCTGCAGCATCGCCACTCGACCCACCCGAGGCGGTGGTCCTG